AAATTATCATTATTCATAGATGGCATGATACTCTACATAGAAGTATAGAAATTAGTAATATAATTAAACACACATCTAACCTGAAAGGTTATGTCATATGTCAACATGTCACAGAGATTAAAATTTGAAAGGCAGCTAAAGATAATCTGACATAACTAATACGCTGCTCTAAATAAGAATCAATTCTGTCTCTCTCAGTATAATTCTATGCCAAGAATGAAAATGCTTCATCCGTGGGGCTGATGGTGTCGCTCAGCAGTAGAGGACTTGCCTAATATGTTCTATGTCCTGGGTCCCATCCCCAGCACCACAAAAAATAAAGGAAAATAAAATAAATGCTTTACCCAGTTAAGGTCACAAGTTATACTTAGAACCCTGGGCAAGGTATAAAAACATGCACTGCACTAAACATGAGTCTAGTTGGTTTCTGTACTTAAGTAATTGAAGTTTCTTTAGCTTTCTGAGAATTAGATACACCAGAATTAGATAAAACTAATTTTGATATTATTAGAATATACTAATTAAACAAACTGTGAGCTTTGGTCTTTAGGAGAAATGATGCACTAATTCAAAATCTTAAGCCAAACAATGTAGCAGAAAGAACATTTTTTAACTAACAAGTCTTTCAGAAGGATCGTAATTTAGATCAAAAACTGACAAAATGTACTCTCAAAAAGAAGCTGACATTGAATTGTGTAGAAGACAACAACTAAAACCCCAAGGCATCGTAGGCACATCAGGAAAATTCTAACATATTTTAATACAATTGCAATCATCTACTAAATTTAGAAAACTATTTAAGTTTTACAAGTATAGATATTCACAAATGTATTTTTTTTAAGAGGTATCAGCCTCTGGGCTGGCTTTCTCCATTTCTTAAGCCAGCATTCTCCAGTGGCATTCCCCTCCCGGCTCCCCAAATGCCATCCTTCTCATCAGCACAGTGCCCAGTGTTACCCTGACAGTCTACAACAGAATCTCCTGCAAACCAAGCCAAACTCCCCTGCCTGCAGTAGACAAAAGAAAAAATTACAGTATTGCCTCAGTTTGCAAACACTTTTGTTTGCAAACAATTTTGTTCACAAACAGAAGTGTTTGACAAAATTTTGTTTTTGTTTACAAACTCTACACCAGCCAGTGGCCACCTTTCCTGCACAAACACAAATGTGGCATCTTTTCCAGAACCATGAAACGAATTAAGTTCGTGAACCGAGGTACCACTGTAACAGCACAACCTGTGTCCTTACTGCATTGAACACGTGGCTAGTTTAGTGCCCAAGAGCTTCCCTATATGTCAGGGTAGTTCATCTTTACCACAGATTTCTGGGTATTTTTTTTATCTCTTACCAGGTACTGTTCATCTATCAAAATGCTGATAACAGTAATTACTCACCATTAGCCTTATTCTAGTCTTATTTTGTTAATGCACAGCCACAACCCAAATATTTTTTTCCCACCAAACACCAATGTTTCACCCAGTACAATTTGCCATGAATTTCAATCTTAATAAAGGGACTGTGTTATGGTTTGTGTCTGCATGTTCCCCTAAAGCCTCATGCAGTCATGGGGAGGGCTTCTAGGGTTTATGATTGATCCATGATCCAATGCTGGGATTATGGGTGTGAGCGCTACCTTCCCTCATAGTTTGCATATGTAAGGGAGAGAAAGAAGCTGCTTGCCACCACTCCTCCCTTTTGCTCTTGCTGCTTTGCTATCTTCCCCCGCCATGAATGCTTACCCTGTGCCATGTGCCACTCTGCCTCGAGCCAGCTGAGTATGGACTGAAACCTCCAAAACCATGAGCTAAATAAACCTTTCCTTCCCTAATACTGGGCGTCAGGTATTTTGTCTCAGCAACAAGAGAAAAGTAACCAAGACAGACTGCTTATCTCCAAATAGTGGAAATACTAACCCAGAAATGCTATAAGGGACATTATTAACTCAGCATTAACAAACAGAGGCATATCATGAAAACAAGAGAATGTGATCATCATGTATATCGAAATTATACCAATAAACGTAATTTTAAAAAAAAGAAAATGGAATATACATTAAAATTTCCATCCAAGGCAAGCTGGTGGGGGAAATTCAACTTCTCCATTTAAGCCTAGCATTCTCAATCAAGCCTGAACACTGAAATAGTCTAAGGCATTGTTTTAAAATGTTGATGCCAAATCCTACCTGTTGCAATTTGGGGCTTACTGCAAGGTGAACAATATAATACAGGACACATATTTTATAAGATTATTTACAATAGTCACCCAAAGAATCATACACAAGAGAGTGCAGGAAATCTGTCCACACACTAAAGACAAGAGAATCTAGCCGAGGGCCTGGAACCCACGGAAATGTCCTGCTTGAGTTCAGCTGAAGACCTAAAGCCCATAACAATTCCTCCCACAAATCCAACTGGAGTCCCAGAGACCACAGCAACGTCTCATGCAGGCCTGTATCACAGATCTGCACTGGGAAAGCCCAAAGGTCAGTGGTAGAATCTAGAAAGTCTGTGTCAGCAGGATGAAGGATCTGTGCTAGTAGGGTGAGAGATCTATACTGGAGCCAGGAAGCGATGCTCAAAGCAAGAACCAGAGCTCTCCCAAAAGGTACCACAGCCATCTTCAGCAACAGTGAGGTCCCGAGCTCCTCCGACGATCAGGACAACTGAGTTCCCATCAGGAAAGCCAATACAACAAGGTTCTTTAGGAGACTGAGCAATGTACCATCTTCCCCTCTAGAGCCAGGAAGCGATGCCCAAAGTGAACTGAAGCCATTCTCAGTGCCAACAAGGTCCCAAGCTCCTTGGAGGATGAAAACAGCCAAGTTCATCAGGAAAGCCAGCATGACAAGCTCCTCCAAGAAAACCACCATCTCCTTACAGCTTCTCAACAGCTTCCACCAGCTCCCAACAGCCTTATCTCAGCTCTCAACAGCCTTTTTTCTTCTTCTCCAGTTCTGCCTCCTATGCTGCTGACAACAGTCCCTAGGTGGGCCTCCCACACCCAGCACCATGCTTACTCAGTTCAGCTGGGTGTCACAAGTTGACCACCAGTTGTCAATCCACCACACTACCTCATAGCAACCTAATTCGGATCACTGCAAGATGGACTCAGGCACTGGGGCTCAGTACAAGCTCTGCGGAGTCATTCTAGTGTTTGGGTGTAGCTGTCAATCACTCATCTACACCAGGGGTCAGTAAGCTACTCTGTGAAAGCCAGTGCTGGGCCATGTAGTCTTTTATCACACTTCAATCTGCTGCTCTAGCCCAAAAGGAGCCTTGGACAGTACACAAATGAATGGGCGTAGCTGGATTACCACACAGCTTTACTGAAGAACACTGAAACTTGGAATTTTAAATAACTTTTACGCATCGTAAAATATTCTTCTTTTTTTTTAACATCTACAAATGTAAAACCGATTCTTAGCTTTTGGGTCATATAAAAACAGGTAGCAGGCAAATCTGGCTAGCCCAGACTTTACCAACCCCTGACCTACACTTAAGAGTGAACAAACTTCTACTTAATTTTCTTGAAAACATTTGATCAGTGATTCCCTATCAATCCTAGAAATATCCCCTTCGAGCCATGGATACCTTCAGATTCGAACTGTTCCAGGCCATACGGGGTGGCTGTGTGCGCACTGCTCCTGGATGGAACTGTTCCCTCCGAGTAGGGCTCAGAAGCAGGCGGAGCGAGGGAAGAGCCAGTCACCTCCACCATCACTCCAGCGGGTGTCACCCGAAAGCCCTGCACCAGGGTGAACTCCTCATTTGGCAATGTGACTGTGTCCACGAAGCCTGCCAAACACAAGAGAGAGGACTTGACCCACAGACAGCCCCTGCAGAAAGTGTTGACATGTTCTTCTACTTTTCAGGCAATGACAGCCACTGCTCACATGCAGTAAGTGTGGCACTTAGACCAGCCCTCCCTCCCTCCCACATCCACAGCAAACACTTCCGCATCCAGGAAAATATGCTACCTCACACTGGAACCATGCTTCTGAATTGCAATCTCCCACTGGTTCCGTTGACAGTGTATGGATGTTGCAATTATGTATAACATGCTACCAAAGGTAGAAAATTTAACAAAATTGTTAAAACAAATCCCAACAACTACTTTAAAAAGATCAAATACATTTCTCAAAGTCAACTCAAAGAATAAGAGCCTAGATCCACACCTGGAATGTGTTAAATTTTAACACATCCAATTATATAAACTAGGGCTAGGGTACCCTAAGTCTAAGACTCTCAAATAGTAATAGCTTGAAAACCTGGTTGATTATCAGAATCAATGGCGGGAACTTTTAAAATGTACATTCTCACCCACACATCTCAACTATCTAAATCAGAATCTGTTTGGCCTAAAAAAAGCATTTTTGTAAAAACTCCCAGAGTTGGGCACAATGACACAGCCCTGTCATTCCAACTACTCAGGAGGCTGAGGGAGGAGGACCACAAATTCAACCCCAATCTGGACAACTTAGCAAGACCTATTTCAAATGAGAAATAAAAGACCTGGGTATGTAGCTCAGTGGTAGAGCACCCCTGCCTTTATTCTTAAAAAAAAAAAAAGCTACCAGGATATGGATCCATAGGATTTCCTGCTTTTAGTGGGAGTATAAAATACTTTGGAAAACAGGCATTAGCTGCAGAAGTGTCAAACATTCATACACCTTTGGGCCAGCACTTGGACTCCTAGGTATAATCCCCAGGAGAAACTCCTGCACATGTGCAGCGGGGACACGCACAGGAATACTCCTCTGGCAGTGACCACAATAGCCAAAGCCAGAAAGGACCCAAATACAAAGCAGCGAGACAGGGGATGAGGACTGGATAAATAAACTATGGCGTGTTTTTATTATGCAGCAGTGAAAACAAAAGAACTACTTTTACGGGATGTAGATCTTAGTCACAGAATATTAAGTAAAAACTCTAAGTTCCAAAACGTTCATCTATAATACACAGTTTCTTTTATAATGTTAAAAACAACTAAAAAGTTAAAATGTGTATTTGTAAGAATATAAATGCAAAAAAACGTTTTCAGAAGGATGGAAAAGGGCTTAGGGGAACACGGTTCAGAATGCCCACCAGGAGAGGCAGGGCTGAGACACAAAGGCTCTCTGTCTCTGCAGGTTATTGTCCAGGACCCAGGCTTTTGCTGTCTGGTTTAGGGGTGGGGGAGGGAGAACGGATTAGAAAGTTTTTATTACATTGTTGAAAATAACTCAGTAAATACATACAAAAAGTAGGCCTTACTTGGAGCAATGATAAAACTGAGATATTAAGTCCAAAATATTTTTACGTATTCATTTTTTAATTCCCAAAGGGAGTACAATAAGGAATCAAACTTGAAAATTCCATTGTCCTTAAGCAATCAGAGCACTTGAGGTCCCACTAGATAGAAATCCCTTTGCACACTACTTCAAAGCCCTACAATGGCCTGGGAGACAGGGAGGCATTATTTACAAATGGACAGGTCAAGTCTTACAGGAACTGAAACACTGCTTGAAAGCCACTATACTAGCGAGGACCAAGTCAGGACTCCAAGCCAGATCCTCGCAGTCAATGCAGCCTGTGGAACACCCAGAGATGAGCCACCGTGCAGGCTGTGCCGTATCTCGGCAAGTGAGACAGAGGCCCCCCACCGTCAAGGTAGGGTGTGTGTGTGTACTAAGGAAGAGCCAGCTGCCTCACTCATCCTCCTCAGGGCCTAAAGAAAAGAGCCACCCCAAAACACAGAGGCCAAGTCCCACCCTTACCTTCCGCAGTAGGGATGACTTCGGGGGACAGAGGGGCCACCGTAGTTGAAGGTGTAGTGGCCACAGGTCCCCATCCTCTGGGCAGCTGAGTCACACCAGGAGTGCCGGACACAGGGGAGGCGGCCTCCTCGGCCTCCTCAGCGTCCCCACGGCCTCTGGGAGCTTCCAGGGAGACAACCTCCTCTTGTGTCTCCAAGGGCAGAGAGGCCTCTGGGTCTTGAGCAGCCGTTGTCATTTCTTGAGTGATGGCATCTTTAAAGAGGGAAATATTTAAAACAGACCCAATCCTTAAAGTCACCACATGATTAACAAACCGAAACAAAAGAAGCTGGAAGCTATTTCAGGCCCTGGGAAAACAAAGAGAAAACTCAGAAATAGAAGTCCAGAAAATAAATGTCACGGCTGCTGCTTTTAGGACTTCTGAGTTCATCTCAGACAGAAGTAAAAAAATTAATGTAATAAAAAAAAAAACTGGACTAGAATGCAAAGCAAAGTAGGAGGGCTAATAGCTGAATACTAACATAATCAGTCTGTTAAGAAACAAATTACACAAAACTAAGTTACAACCAAAAATTCTCAGAGGCATTTGTATATATTAATCTTCACACTTGCATTTGTGAAAAGGAAAAGGAAGTTGATATTTTAAAGTAGAGTAATAATTACAATAACTAATGTCCTGAGAGTTTCTAACACGTGTCCTACATGCCCAGGACCAAGGGCGCAGTGTGAGCTGTCTTCGTTCATCCTCCCCCACATCCCAAAGCGAGGTGGGCACCAGTATGGTCTCACAGAAGCTGACTGTCACGGCGGTCAAGAAAGCAATCTATGGAGCCTATTTCCCTGAGTCTGAAGCCTGGCTCTGTGAGCCTGAACAAATTACTTAAAATCTCTGGGCCTGCAGTTTCCTCAACTATCAAACGGGGAAAATAATAGCATCCATCATACAGAATTGTTACAAAGATCAAATCTGATCATATGTGTAACACAGTGCACGTCCAGTACATTGCTTAGTATTCCATGAACATCAGCTATTCTTACCCTGTTTTATAAAATAACTTAGGTTCTGAAGAACTGCAGCGCCCGGCATGCCCAGGGCAGCACACTTAGCCACCACCGAAGGTCTGCACCTGTTGAGACCTGAAAGGCAACTGAAACAGCTACAGACCACGCCGTTACCATCCTAGCCCACCTTCCTACAACAACACGATGTCCTCAATACAGTGCTAAGACCACTATATGTGTAAGGACCGTAATTTGCAGCCTTCCCAGGAAGGAGTCTATGCTGGAAATGTCAAATGCTTAGCAACTACAAAAAAACCTGACAGACCTTATTATCTCTCTTTCTTCAAATACCAGTTCCTCAAAGTTTTCACCAATGACATTACGATACATAATTTCAAAATTATTTTCCTCAAAGGCAATTTATTTGTTTGAGAATAGTGTGTTTCAGTAAAAGCTGTTCCTTTTGCTGGAATCCAAACAGTTTACAGGTTTTTTTTTTCCTTTGAATTGAGGGCTTTTTACATTTGGTAGATCAATACACCTCGTTAGTTACAGGACAAAGTGAACCAGGGTAAAATGTTTTACCTGAACTTCCAGTTTGTTCTTCCTACCATTATTTAAATTGATCCTTTCTTTCTTTTTTTTTTTTTTTTCTCTTTCTCCAGTGAGCTTGTAAATGTCCTGAGAACCGGGACAATGCGTATCTTCAGCACCTGGGCCGATACTCTGTCCGCCACAAGAAGACTAATACATAGTTTTGCCATTTTAAGTAATAAGTGTTTTTTGTTTTTGTTTTTGGTTTTTGGTTTTTCTCCGGTACCGGGAATCGAACTCACGACCTTGCGCTTGCCAGGCAGGCGCTTTTTGCCACTGAGCTAAATCCCCAGCCCCGGTGTTCTTTATATTGTCCTCACTTTTAAAAGCATAATAAACACTTCTGAGAATATGTAAAAAGTCATATACAGTCTCTGTTCATACAGACAGCAAGAAATGTCAAAATGTTTTATGAGACAGCAAGAAATGTCAAAAAACGCATAGTACCTGAAACAAGTGATGATTTTGGAAAAAGACTGAGAACTACAAATACTACTGGGAAATTTTTAAATAACATCCAAAATTTCCCAACATCTGTCACTCTTCCTTCTTCCTGTAGAGAAAGAAGAATGTAATACTCACGACAGATTATTTTTCAAACCTTCGCTGGGCCAACTAATTGAACTAGCTGAGTCAGAGGACTGCCTATGATCTCAGCATACTCATCTGTTAACAGACAAAATACCCAGAAATCATTGCATATTCTCAAAAAGATAACACCTTTCGCGATCTCTAGACTCTAAAATGATAGATATTTTAGTTATTTCCTTCAAAAAATACTTATAGAGCTAGGCATGGTGATGTACACCTGTAATCCCAGCTTTCAGGAGGCTGAGGTAGGAGGATCCCCACGAGTTTAAGGCCAGCCTGGACTACACACTGGCTTCAAGGTCAGCCTGAACTACGTAAGACCCTGTCTCCAAAAAAAGGCAAAAAATATTTATAAACATCAGGAAATGGATAGAAGATTTTGTTTGGTTGGTTCTTCTTTTTTGGGGGGGGGTGGCTATTCCATCACTCCTCTTGTCATAAAATGCAGTCTCCCACATTCTTTTGGGCTCTATGGTAGCAGTCCCCAGCCTTTGCAGCACCAGAGACCAGTTTCGTGGAAGATAATTTTTCTATAGGCGATGGGGGGGGAGGTGGTGTTCATGATCATCCAAGTGCATTGTATTTATTGTGCACCTTATTTCTATTATTATAGCATTAGATTTTCATTAGAAGCACACAACCTACAACCCAAAGCACAGCTCAGAGGGGCTCCTGCTCCTGTGAGACTCTGACGCTACCCCCCACTGGCAGGAGGCCGTGGAGCGCAGCCGAGAGTGATGGCCAGCGACTGTAATTCACAAACATGTGATGTTCCAGCCCTTCAGCAGCTGCTCACCTCTTGCTCTTTAGCCTTATTCAGAACCCCAGCTACAGAGGATCAAGAAAATTAAAATGAAAGGAATGACTTAATTGCTCCTCTCTCTACAAAAACAGAGAAACAGATTAACTTGTACAAGTTAGGTAATCAACTTGGACGCCCCCAGTCTGAGTAGTTCTCTAACCTCACTTACCCATCCATTGAGCTTGTATTTATTGAACATCTCGTATGTGCCAGGTATCATGCTAAAAAAAGTCACCTGTGAAATGACTGTAGTTAAGTGAGATGATTATGATTAAAGAGCACATTCTTAACAACAGTCAAAATAATCATCAAACCCACTTTTTAGCTTATATCTACAGAAGCTAACACAAGTCTGGAATCTAAGAATCACAAATTCAACCATGCAGGAAATAATCTGGGATTGTATGATTTAATCCTCCAGAAATATCTTCTAAGTGCTATGGATAACTGAAGCCAACTTCTTGTTCAAAGGCACCTAATATCTTCATGTCACTCAGTCCCCACTCTCTTAATGTCACTTAAAAACCAACTCACAAAATATTTTCTAGAAGCTCCTATGAAAACTTATAGTATACTTGGTCTTTCTGTCCTTACAAATGAATTAGATATGCAAAATTCAATCTTCCTTTTCTCATTTACCAAGTAATCTTTTATGATTTTAATTGAATCCAAACAACACTTTATAAAACATTACAAATTTGATATTTCCATTAATTGGTCTACTTCGCTGAAATAATATGGTGTAACTGTTTCAAAACTATTTAAAATGAGATACACAGTTTAGACTAAGATTTTCCTTCTTGATGCTGTTATCTGACCAACTACACATAACAAAAGGAAAATATTATCCAGTATAACAAATATAAGGCATGTCAGCTTGTATCCACAGATGAAAAGCCACGAAAAAGTAAAAAATAAAAAAATCAAGCCTGCAGATGATTTATCTTTCTTCCCTCTTATGTCTCGATGATTTATTTTGGAGTAAATAAAGTCAGAGAACTCATGTGATTAATACTATTTGATAACTATTTGCTTAAAGCTTTTTGATAAGAAATATTAGAGATGTGGGTATATTTTATAGTATACAAACATATAACCTGTACTATCTATGACACTATTTAAACAGCAGATGCTTCCACATTTTCCTGTGGAGTTATGCATTTTTACAATGAAGTGGTTTCTCACCCTCAATGCTACTGAGACACTGGCCCAAATGACCTTGCTGCTGGGGCTGCTGTATGCATGGAAGGATTTCAGCAGCATCCCTGACCCTCTTCCCACTAGAAGCCAGTAGCCACCCTTGGCTATAACAACTAAAATGTCTCCAAACACTGGTAAATGTCCCATGGGGGAAGGAAGGGGAGAGGAGAGGACTGTCCCCAGTTGAAGACTGCTGGTCTACATGCAGGGGTTACGTGTGGGTGTAAGTTTTATACAAAATACATGATGTACTTGAACACTTGCTTTTCATTAAAACTTTAACAACCCATTTCTAAATTGCCTTTAAAAAATAAAACCAAATCAAAAGATTCCAAATTAAACAAAGCTTGCTTTTCTTCCTTTTTCCACTTCCCTTTACCTTTCAACTCGTGTCCCAGTGGCCCATACATCTCCGACTGGTGCTCTGACACAGACGCAGTCATCCCTGCGAGGAACTCAGAGCTCTCTTCCTTGGTGGAATCCAAGACGCCTCCGGGACCCTGGAATACGCTCCTGTCCGAAAATTCCGGATCTCCCGACAGGCTCGTAGGAGCAGAGGAGCTGAGGTGCGTGGAGGCAGGTGATCTCTGGTCCCCCTGGGAAGTCAGCAGGGCTGGGCCCGTGAGTGCTTCCCCTTCTGGCAGTCCCAGACCTACCTCCGCCATTTCTGTCACCTCTGGACTGTCTCCTTTTGAGGTCCTTATCTGGCTTTGGCTCTCTAGTTTGGTGTCATCCCAATCTTCACTTAAGACAGAGGAGGCTGGGACAGCTGAGCTGACGCTCACTGTGATTTCTGGAGCTCCCAGCAGGCTGTCGGTTTCCGGCTCCACACTCAGGGTATACGTGGCAGTTGCCACCAGCAAGTGCTCTGTGGCAGTGGCCTGGGTATTACCAGCCGTTATCTGGGAGGGCTTCTCCCCACTTGACGGGAGGCTTCCGGGTACAGTGTCTGCCGCGGATTCAGCGTCAGGAAAAGAAGTTGTTCTCTGGTCTGTGGCTGCCTCAAGTTTCTCCATCCTTGGACTGGGGGTTCGCACTTCTTCAGGGTCCACATAGGATGAAGGTGTATGTCCCAAACTGACACCCTCCAGACTCTCAGTTGCAAACCACTGATGATCCACATATGTCAGGAAACTCTGTGTTGTTTCTGGGGTCCCTTCCGCGAGGGGCTGACTGTGGCTACTGCTCAGGGGCCCCTCCTCCGCATGGGGATTTAGAGAAGCAGCTGCAAGGAGGGCAGTGGCAAGTGTGGCCTTGGAGAGCTCACTCTCAGCAGACAGGCCCTCAGGCTGGCTGGAAACAAACATGTCCTCACCTGCTGGGATCTCCAGCTCAGTAGCAATGTAAAGACCAGCACTGCTTGACTGCAGGAGCCCAGCTCCTGTAGGCTGGGTTTCTTTGTCCCTCGTGAGGATTTTATTTAATGACAATACCGATGGTTCTGCGGAGGCTGTTACTGCATCTTCAGAGGACACCAGCTGGGGAGTCGGCTTCAGAGCCATGGAGCTGTTTTCCAGGTCATCCACACCCATCCTCTCAGATTGCTCTTGTTCTCTTTTGGGGAAGGACAAACATTGTGTGGCAAAGTTAAGAAACAGAAGGCCACCGAAAGCCAGACAAAGGTGCAAGACAACCGATCTGCTCATAGTGGAAGAGAAATGTGCACAGAAATTGGCAGAGTTGACAATTCCAGCAATTGAGTTCTGCAGAAAAATAAAGCACATCAAACGGTCACAGATACGTAGTTTATAAGATCCTTTCAAGGGAACTGTAAGGAAAACAATCTCCTTGACTTCACAAACAGAGAAGGCAGGTAGGAAAGGGCTGTTCCATTTCTTTGCACCCTTGAGACAGATAACCCAGTTCATTTTTCCCTGATGAATTCTGTAACTGATTTAACTTGAGCTCCCTAGAAAAAGGGACACACAGTTTAAGTATCAGGTTCATTGTTTCTCAAACACCTACTTCAAATAAATCACCCTTGAAGTCACATTTGCAATGTCCTCTCCAAACTCAATGCATCCCCTGCTGATCCCCTCTATTAGAATCCCAAATTCCTCTCTTATTCCACTATTAATCATGCAGTCAAGTAACTTGTAGGAAAAGCAACATGTCCAAGATATAGAAAATAAATGTTAAATTACACATTCATTCAAAGAGGTTTTTAAGTGTTGCCATGGTTTGAAAGTTTGTGTCCCCCAAATCCATACATTGAAATCTAATCATCAAAGTGCTGGTATTAGGAGACAGGGCCTTTGGAAAGTGATTAAGACTGTGAAGCCAGAGTCTTGATCAACAGAATTAGTGCCCCTTATACAAGTCCCCAGCGAGCACCCCAGAAATTCCTCACTTTTCAGTCTGCAGCACCACACCCACAAAGCAATCTCAGAGATGCTTTGAGTTCTCTAGAAAATTAAAATTAGGACTTAAAATTCTTAAACAAAAATCTTGCCCTTACAAAAGGCACACTTTTTCTTTCCCTCATATCTAGTCGTCAAATCCTCTAGATTAAACACATGGTGTGCAAGTGAAATACAGAAATTCCATTTTCCTGGGGCCTTCTCCCCTTAGGGATTTCAGAATTTCCACACATTAATCCCATTTTGTTTTAAAGGCCTTTTTCAAACATAAAATGGCTAAGTCCTCCAGGCATGATCTATATGACTGGAGACCAAATCAAGACTGGATTTCCTACATAAGAACAGAGCAATTTGTGGATTTAGAGCTGAGGCCTGCCAGCCAGACAGCACCAGGAGAGCGAGCTGTCCTGGAAGCAGACTTTCTAGCTCCTGTCCTTCCTTCTTCAGAGATCTGGGCCAGAACCACCCAGCTAAACTACTCCCAAATTCCTGACACACAGAAGTGGTATGAAATAATACACATTTATTACTAGGATAAGCCACCAAGTTAGGGGGTAACTTGTTACACAAATGTCCTGCGCCCACCGTGCTTTCAGGAGATACAAGAACAGACGAGGGCCATGAGTTGTCATAATGCCATGTGCACAAAGGGACAGCGCATCAAGGATCACAAAGTAAACAGTGAAGGAAAACTGAATCTACAAGTGACTGGTTGAAACCTAAGTCTCCCAAGTGCCCTAGAGCTTCAAAGAAGGACACTGTCTCCCCACAGGTAGAATGGGGGTTTGAAACTCCCATTAAATTAAACCCAGGCAGCTCTAGCCTCATTTTAAAAGGAGAAACTATGGGGGAAGTAATTGAGAAAGACAAACAGTACAGGCTGGCACATGTCAACATCGTGCACATCACTGTCCTCCGGATGAGCCCGAAAGCACACCCCATGCCGCGCAGCCAGGACAGATGACCGTGCAGCATCACGCTTACGGCCTGTTTCCCGTCCTCAAAACAAAAACCTGGAGAGCTGTACAGCAAGAGTCACAATCTGTGAGAAAATGAACTATGAAACTATACAGCTAAAGAGGCCTAAAAGCTAGAGACTCTCTGGCTCATGTTGGATCTGTTCAGATAGCTGTCTGTTCCTAAACAGATACTCACTAAACCTAACTAAACGTCCCAGAAAACAAAAGGTGCTGCCTAAAAGCTTGGTCTACATGATCACATGCTTTGGACTAAAATCGTAGAAAACGTAAGCCATCACTAATGGTGACAGATTTCAGAAGGACACAGACTGCCACTGGAAAGATGATTTCTGAATTTTAGTTTTCCTAGTATTAAAACTTGTTCTGTGACACCAAACAACTGGCTTTAGTTTTTCCTTTGACAAAATGAGGAGTTAAACAAAATAACCTTTGAAATCTCCTCTGCCTCCATGATTCTATGTTTACACCTTACCTGTATGACAGAAAACAAAAATATTCCTCTAGAACCACAATTTTGCCATCCAGTAGGCGAGACACCCACAAGACCAAGCAAATGCTTCTCCAGTCATGTAGGCTGGGAGAAGAATTTTATGAACAAATGAGACTGAAGGAAAAGAGAACAAAGAACAAAGACAATACAGACCCAACTGCCTTTCCAAAAAAGAAGTTCCCCTCAAGGTCTTATTTTCATCCGCACCTTGAGTGTTAGAACTTTTGTGTGAAAGGCATTCAGCTTTGTTCTAAAAGAGCTTCCTTCTGTGATTCCACGTTGGCCACCTGTTTTCTAAATCCAATTACAGCAGAAAAAGTGGGGTGAACCGTGAGTCTTTTCTAGTCTGTGCTGAGGCCATATGCTCCTTCTCCCCATTATTCAAAGCAATGCTTGAACTTGGAAGGGAGAAAAAACAGCCCCATAATGGGAGTTGTATTATATTAGAAAATTAAGAAAAGAAAGACCATTGTCAATTCAGTGACAAGATTCCTAACCCTAAGTTACCATCTGCAAACATTTTGAAGATCATGGGCCTTTTCTCTTTTCCTTAACACTGTTATCTCCTATGAGACCATGTGCCCAGTTTAGAAGAAAAGCTTAGTAAATACTCACTAAACAAACAGATGAATGTCTACAGCCTGCTTTGCTGGTAGAGGTGGAAGGAAGATTTCATTGCTTATTAGAATTCTCTGTCTTCTATTAAATTAATTCGGTCATAAGAATATCTAATAAAAATACAAAAAGAACGCTTCTCTTTTCCCTTACATTGTGCCTTTAGCTACCGTCTTCACTTGATCTGTCAGTGCAAATTAATTCAGATAAATAAACTCTAACTCAGTATTTAACTGATAGTGGATATTACCTTCAAACAGTTTAAAAAACATCCCTTTCGGGGCAAGTCAGTAGCACTCGTGCTATCGTTTGCTATCAAGGTGCCCTAATGGCTTGGCAGTCCTCTGAACAATTTACTTTTCAGCCAACAGCGGGTAGATAAGCTGTCCTGTCAGGCATTATCTTTGACAATCTTAAATAGACACAGCCCAGAATCTGTGTCTTTGTCAAGTCCAGGAATATTCAAGTTTCAAAGACAAATGAAAGACAACATCAAAAAAAAAAGCCTTAAACTTAATAATCCAATTTTCTAAACACTTGGTCAATACTTTTCCAATTAAAATTAATACTGCTATTTCAGGATGTTCCCAAAATGAAGACACAAAAGGAAAACAAGCAGACTGAAACACTTTCATCCTGACAAAGCTATCTCTAAAGTAAACTGAGTTCTACGCACACTGTAGAGAGAACATAAGCGTTACCCTAAGAGTAGAAACTGGTGAAAATCTGCCTGCTATTTTCCTTTCTCCTGATACACACAACTACTGTAAATAGCTGGTGTGGGTGGGGAAAGAAAGACAGCTAATCTCAGATTTTCACTGTCTCCTAGAAAGACAGTAGAAGTGTGCCGTTTCTAGTCTGTGTACTGAGGCCGTATTTCCTTCTCTCCGTGATTCAAAACAATTCCTAAACCTTAAAAGGAGGTGAAAAGACAGTCTGTAGGAAGGGCAGCAGCAAACACATCTGCAACCCAGATAAACTGGTAAATAGATGGCCTTCAGCTTCCAGGTCTGTCTCCATCTTTTAAAGCCCAGAATCTACTTGGCTGCCACTTCAAACACAACCATCTTCACCTAAACTGAGGTGTCACCTTGAACTCTTCTCCCTTTCACATTCTCTACAACTTGTATAAATCCTTCCCTTGTACTCTCTCCTGGAACTATCCCTTCAAGCCTCCTCACTGGATTGTCATTATTTTAATTGCCTCTTAGTTAATCATCCTTGTACAGACTCTCTCCTCGCTAATCCACTTGATACAATCCAGATGGTTTATTCTCAAAAACACTGACAATAATTAATCAAAAATGGCCACCACTGCGCCACATGTTGTGGGGCCTTGTGGAAATTATCTCACTTAATCTTCACAACAACCTAATGTGGCAGATACCACCAATGTCTCCAGGCGTACAGAGGATAATTAACGTGCCTAAGTGACAGCATCTGTTTTTGATCTTTTGTATCTTGTCAGACTTCAAGGTCCCTGCCTACTATAGTTTGGAGCAAAAACTATGCCCCTCAAAAGGCCCATATGTTCAAAAGTGTGGCTTTTGGGGCCAGGGATATAGCTCAATGGCACAAGTGCCTGCCTGGCAAGCAAAAGGTCCTGAGTTTGATTCCCAGTACAAAAAAAATGGCACTTTTAAGCTAGGTGTGCTGGTATACACCTATAATTCCAGCACTCAGGAATCTGAGGCAGGAGGACTGTTGCAAGTTTGAGACCATCCTGGGCTACAAAGTGAGCTCAAGGCCAGCCTGAACTGCATATCGAGACCCTGTCTCAAAAAGACAAAAAAAAAAAAAAAAGTGTGGCTTCTGGAAAGGCAAGACTGTGGGAGCGGGAACCTCGTAATGGATTAATCCACTGCTAAGTGCACAGCTGAATGAACGATGTGGGGCAAGGCGGTCAGAGGAAGTAGGTCACTGGTGGCATGCCTCTGAAGGATGTATCTTGTCCCTCAAACCCCTGCTTCTCGCTGGCTCCTTCCTGCTCTCTCTACCTCCCAGCTGCCACGAAGTAAGCAGCTTTGCTCTGCCACACCCTTCGACCAGGACGTTTCTGCCTTGGAGCCTGCCAATGACCATGGACTAAAAGCTCCAAACCCGTGAGCCAAAATAAACCTTTTCTCCTTTAAAGTATTTAACTCAGGTATCTGGGCCACAGAAAGCAAACGCGCTGCCTTTGCCACCACAACTCTCTGCCTTCCCAAAGTATATCATCATGTATCACCCCAAACATAAAGCTGCCGAACTCCTCATCTCTAAGGCAAACCCCGCGGTATCAGAGCTAAGTACACACCCTATCCCAGTCAGGTCCAGCACCCTCGCCACACTCATTTTAGGCTGTGAAATGCTGCCATAGCACCACAGTGGCCCCACCACCCCCTCTTCTTCCCTGCCCCAGATATCCAAACCCAGGCCCCCAGGAACAGCTGTCATAAAAAATGACTGGCACACTCACATTCCACCCTCATCCCAGCTCCTCTAGCACAAATCACCATGTTTGTTAAGTCTCGTCAACTCAGAAAGATTAGGTTTCTTCCACATAAACACTGGTCCATATGCTTCCTTTGTTCATCTTATACCTAATAATGACAGGTAAATAGAGGTATTCAATAAATACTTGCTGGCATGAAGTGAATATATATGATCATTTAATAATGAGAAAAATAATGTTCAGAGTTTCTCTGCTGTATCAGAAGACTATCAGTGACATTTCATGATCTGTCCTTATGTAACTGTATATTCTGTTCAGCACCTGGCCAATTCTGGCTACCTATTCAATGCGGCATTACAATAATAGCAATAAGTTATATATTCCTATTCTGCTATATTTTAAGTTTCAGAGTTTATTTCACACATGCGCACACACAGATTAAGTTACAAGCAATAAGTCTCGGAGCTCTGGGTCATCTCGCTTCCCAATTACTACCTCACCTTTCAAAATCCAATTAGTGATCCCTTGACTGATAAAGGAAAAGAACTCTGCTCCTTCCTGGCTAGTGTCTTAATAATCTTTCCATTTTGTGCTTTTCCTGCTCCTCAATGATCCATTTGTCATTGTCTTATCTTGTCTTTTTTTAATCCTTGAGGCTCTCCTTGCCAATATTTCATTTGTGCAAAGCTGAGCTTATCACGAATCTGACCTTATTGGCCCAACTGTAGCATGTAGCATTAAAGTACCACACTCCTGACTCACTGTGCCATTGACCACTGTCCCTGGTCTGTTATATTGGCTCTTAGATCTGGGCTGCAGCCATCCTTCACTATAAATTAAATAGCAGGGATGACAGATGATCCTTTCAGCAGTGTGTTCCATCACAGTGAAAGGAGGGAGAATGGAGTAACCACATAGAAAAAAAAAAGTACGGTCCCCAGGAGGAAAGCACCCTCCTGACAGGGATGCGGGTAAGCAGGCTGGGGTCAAGATGGTTACTCTGGAAACTACCAGCAAAGTGCTTTCCCCTCCCTGGAGGTCACAGCTCAGTGCTACACACTGAACCCACAAGCTGCGGTCTGAACTGATGACGCAACCAAATGAAGGTGCCTGTATTTATCACCCAAGCATCTCATCCTACCCCTGGCAGAAGAAGCCGGACTTAAAGATTTAAAAATAGGCTTCAAGTTTGAGCTCAACCATTGGCAAATCACTAACATTTCTTCATGACAAATAAAAGTTTTAACAGTGCTCATACTAAATACTGATGATGGTAATAATAATGCTCATCCTGTTTTCTTCAAAGAGTGGAGGAGATACAAAAATGACAACAGACACGAAAGGAGATACAAAATGTTTGTGTCGTGCACTATACCAGACATGTAAGCGTGGAACTGACACACAAGCCCCTCGAACTGCAGAAATACGAGCAGTGGGAGGTCCCCAACACAGCGGTCCCCAACAGAATGCACATTTCCCCTAGGAATCACCGCGGAGCTTCCCCTCTCGGCTTTCACAGAGAGGAGGCGACCTAAGTCTTCGAGTCTGCAGACTCCTGTCCTGCCCAGGCTGGATCACAAGCGGCTGTCTTCCCACGGAAAGCTCCTCTCAGTGACTCATCTCACACTCCCTTCTGTCCTCTGGGGCTCACAAACCTCATTTGCTTAGTGCGCCCTCTGAGCACTAGGCAGCATGTTCAGGGAAGCTGAGACCAGATTCATACACTTTTCTTGTAATCACCAACAAAATGCAATATGGAAAAATAGGGTTTATGCACACATTTTAATTAGAGAACGAAGTTCTACTCTTGCAAAAATTAATCCAGAGAATAAATACAATTCCCTATGTGAGAATAAATAAAATTCAACTAACAAAAATGCACTGCCATACACAACTTCTCAGGCCAACATTTACTGAATAAAGAGTATTTGTTAAAGAGAGATTTTTTTCCATAGGGTATAAGCCCATCTTCTTCATTTTGATCTTATATTTAGTATCAAAACGTCTCTATAATGCCAAACTGACACCGTGAACAGGAAACATCAGGAATATACAGAAGCCTCTTCTGAAAACAAAGACCATCCACAGCTCTCGAACTGGCCCTGTTGCCGTGGCTACCTTGGGCTTGGTGAGCCCTGGGACTCTCCTGAATAAAGACAATCAGTCTCAAGTCTGGTGCACAAGTGCTTGGTTCCTTACTGTCAAGCACAGGAAGCTCCACTTCATTCATCCGATCAAGTCAGACTACCCTTAAATCTCTACTAGGTGAACACAGGCAACATTCTGATTCCACGACACCTCACTCGGCCAGGGTGGCTTTGCGGCCAAGTGTGCAGACTGAGCCGGTGGCTGAAGATGCTTGGCTGAAGGGAGCGCCTGGGAGCCAACAGCTTAGCTCGTGATCAAAGAAACACACAAAGGGGGCGGGGGTCCTGACCACACATTTTGCTCCTCAGAGAAAAGACCCTTTGAGCTTTACGGATGGTTTTGGGAACCACTTCTCACTCCCGCGTAAGTTTCAAACTAAAACTTCCAAAGACAAAAAGCAAGCGCTTTGCAGCAGCCCTGTCTGCTCTCTTCCACATCAGTTGTGCACTGGGATTAGGTGCCAGGATTCTGGCAGAGCCTTGCGCCGGCTTGGCAAAGTGAGCATTTCTCTTTCTGGAGAACCCCACACTCGAGGGTCTTGGGTCTCGCTGCCCTCTCCCTTGCCAGGGCGCCACAGGTCCGGATTCCGCACAAGTCGGCTGGGGCAGCGAGCCCCTCTCCGCCCCGGAGCCCCAGCGCAGCGAGCTCCTCCAAGTCCCTCCCGCAGGCCCCCTCCGGCCAGGTGACCTTTCCACGGGGCAGGGCGGCCCCGCCGCACCGCGACAGTCCTCGTCCGGGGCGCGTCTCAGTGCCACCGCAGCCCCCTAAGCCCCCGCCGCCCCCGACCGCTGGCGCGCGGTGGCGATCGATGAAGCCACCGCGGTGGACTGCGAGGAGGGAGCAGAGGAGACGAGAGGGAGAAGGAAAAAGCCACACAAAAGCGCCAGCCCAGCAGCCCCGCCTGCACAAAGGCCCGCGGGCCGGTGCGCAGCTGAAGCTGGGCTGGAGCCGGC